ATGTCTATTCATTTGCAATTATTGCTTTTGAAATAGTTACTGGATTTTGTCCATATTCTGATGTTCTACATGAAAGTTAGCTTATAATGGATTATTCCTAAATACATTACAAGAATAATAATGCATGTTTAGGATTCTCAAGTTATATTGATAAAGGGTTAAAAAATATATCAATTATGATTTGAAAGATAATGAAGAAATTGTAAATCATTAGAGGCAGGTGAATTTTTAAAAAATCAAACAACAAATGATAAAGCAACTAATTAAAAAACACATATTTCTTAATTTTTGAAATCTTCCAAAACCTTAAATGAACCAAATTTAGAAAAGAACTTAAGGAAAAACAGAATCTTTTTCTTGTAAGTTTATATATTTTATTCTTTGCATTTTCTTTTCATTATTACTTTATCAATTATTTATTTGCTTTTATGATTATACTGATTATTTTAGTTAATAAAAATATTAAAATGATTTTTACAAAAATTTTCATGTATAAATTCAATTAATTTGTTTGTATTCAAGAGATAATTTTATTTTACAAAATCTTAGCAATAAATTCAATTATTAATTGATCAATTTTATTTAACTGTATTGACTGTAAATAAATTATTTATTCAAGTGTAGACTTTTTCCTCATTAATCATAATTTTATTTTTAGAATTTTTAATATAAAAATTTTGTATCAAATATATGAAATATTCTGTTTAAAATAATTGTATTTTATAATCTTTTAATTCTAAAATAAATTTAATATTCATTAAATTATCAAAACTTACTGAAATTTTCTGTTTTAGATATTCAGTATAGATATGGAAAGTTGAAATCAGCCTTCAATAAATTAAATTGATACATATCAAAAAGTCATTAAAAAATTGTATATAAATAATGACAAATATAAAGATTGTTTTGCTTTTAATAAGTACTGAAGATTTCTTTAAACATAATCTTTCAAAAGAAGAATGTTCAAAGAAACAGAATTTAAGCTGAATAATCTAGACGACTTGTTAATCATCGTGTCACAAATTATTGGTAACAGCAAATAAATAGATTTTATGGAAAAACACAATTTGGATTCTAAAATTTCATTTTGCTTTTTTTTGCCAAGCTAATTTGTTGCATCAAGCTTGAAACTTCGCTGATATGATCAATTTTCCTTGACGATCACCTTTTTATTTTTTTTGTAAAAGTAGTGTTTTTGGATTTTTAATAAAATGTGCCATCCTTGGTAAAAACTACACAATAAGAACAGAAAAAAGAGGTAAAAAAAAGGAAGAGAATTTATTAAATAGATTATATTTATTATCATTCATCAATCCTATTAAATAGACTTCATATGCTTTATAAACTTCACTTGTAGAGTTAATATACAGTAGTTATTACTATATATAATTATTTAATTACATACAAATAATTTTTTCGATGAAAAAAATATCATTAAATCAATTAAGAAAGTTTTATGTATTTTAAAATGAAGTTAGTAAAGAGATCATTCGTAGAGATTGCGTTGCATTGATAATCTAGAGGAAGTCATCGATAATTAGAAAAATCCTTTGGAAAAAAGTTTCTTTCTTTTTAATTTATTTCTTCGCGAATTTAAATTTAAATTCTAATTATTTTATTTTTTAAATTATTAATTTTTTTTTGAACTTTAAATGCTTTAAATACTTCAGAAAATGCATCTAATAATGCCTGAATAATTGATGTATTATTTTATTCTTTTAATAATATATTTATATATTTGCATCGCTTACATTATTTTTTTTACTCTGGGTGATGTAACGTCCAAAAGGTCGAGCCGTTTTTCACCCTAAACCGTAATATATTGGTGGATATTGGTGCTAAAAGAATAAAACTCATGTCATCCTGTAGCCCAGAATCAGGGCTTTCGTTCGGTTATGAGAATATCTTAATCAAAAATCTCTCCCTGTCCTACAAACTGCGATCGAAGTCAAAAAAAAACGGCGTAAAAATTGTGAAAAAATTTCGCGTTAAAAAATTTCGTGATCTCTCGTAATTTCTCCGGAATTCTTGCGCAAAAAAATTCCTTTTTTTGACTTTGATCGCGATTTTTTGGACAGGGAGGGAATTTTTATGACCGAACGAAAGCCCCGATTCTGGCATAAAAGATAACATGTGTTTTATCCTTTTAACGCCAATATCCGCCGATATATTAAAGTTTAAATATAAAACGTTCCGTATAAATACCGTAATATTACGTAGGCGTCGTAATATACGTATATTTGCGCCTAAAAAAATTTCCATAATTTTAATCACTTAGTTATTTTATAATTTTTAATTAATGCTAAATTAGTTTAATTTGATGCTGTTTAATTTTAACGATGAATTATGAAACTTTATCAAAGCTTATAATACTTATCAAAAATAATAAGATTGAAAATGATAAATTTATTATTCCGATTATGTATGTACTATTCTATCCAATTAACGATTTAAAATATAAATAAAGAAAGGTGTCACATCGCACGAATGTAAAAATTTATTTTTTGTTTTTTTACCATGAACTATTTATTTTATCAAATTCAAGAAACATTCTTTTAAAAAACGAAATTATGTAGAATTGATGAAAAAATGTTGGCATAAAGAATCCATCTGAAAGTCCAAGCATCGAAGAAATATTTGATGTATCAGAGAAATGGATTTATGAGTTGATGTATGATAATAAAGCAGAATGCTCAATTATATTTTTAAATGCAGAACAAGAAGTAAAAAAGATAAATTCTAAATTATTAATTGAGACAATCCATCTTAAAGTATCTCTTACAAGTAAACTTTTGCTTCGATTATAAGTGACCTTAATTCGACCTTTAAATTTGATATTAATAATATAAATAGGAATAATTATTAAATTAAATTAATTAATATTACAATAAGTATTTAGTTCAATACCAAATAAAACACTTTATTTTATAATGAAAATAAATTAGATAGTCTTTTTAAATTTTAAAAATTACTTAGATCAGTAGAATTCAAAGATCAAGATTGTAGAAATTTTCAATATTATTTTATTATTCGACATGGATTTTTTTACTGTAAGTTAACAATAAATTTTTTAATATCTATTTTAACTTATAAATTTTATATACATTGTACATTGTACCAAGTAACGATTTTTATTAGAAGTATTTATAATGTGTATATATTAAATTATAATAAATCATATCGGGCCGGTTGTAATGAGGTGGCATGAATGTCACAAGAGTGTTGTACAATTTTTGAAGTATTAAGAATGTCATGGAGGATAATGGCAAGATGACGGTAAAACCTAGATGAGTGTACTACCATCCATGATGACAATTTTCATCCACGGACAGTATCCTTCATCCTTGTGTCATCTTTAAAAAAAAGGGGAAACATGTTCAATAAAGAATAAGGTAAACAACTCAAAGGTATAAAATAAATAGAGAGACCTCTTTGAAAAATCTAGACTTTATAATTTTCATTTGATTAATTTCGGGAATTTATGTTTTATTTCCTTATATTTATATAAAATATAATAATAATTTTCTTGAAAATCTTGTAATAATTTGAAAAAGACAATAAATATTCTTTTGCAATGTTTCAATAAATTTGATAACAGTAGTAATAATTTCAAAATATCTCATAATACTTATCTTTGTGATAATGGTAATATTTGTGAGAAACGGTTTACAGCCATAATACCTCTATTATCAACTTTGCAATAAATTTTCATAAATTACTTTATTTCGTGAATAAAATTACTGCATAAAGTTTTAAAAAGTTTGTGTAGTAATCTGTATGAGGATATTTTACTCCTCTTACTCACGTACCTTCAGATTACACCTGTGTGCATGGTTATAGAGCTATTTTAGTAGTTGTTTGCAGTTTTTAGGAAAGTGACAGCTTGATCCTAACTGTGAAAGAGTATATTATTACATATGACATACTGTACGCAAGAGTGCAAAAAGGGGTGTTATAAGAATTTGATTTAGCAAGACTGATTGTCATAACTTTACTTTGTATTCTGGGCAGACTGCCACAGTAGAAATTGACTGATATTTCATTACACAAAAGCCATTCTTGGCTAAATTTAATAAAATTTATATATAACAACCTTTTGACAATTAAAAAAAATTGTTCTTTATGTGTAAACTAGCTAGTGCTTCTTGAATTTGAATCATAAAAAAATCTACATTAGTTTGATATCTCTTAAATATATGAGATATGCATCGGAATAATGGACAGGTACAATAAATTAAATTGAAATAAAAGATTTTATTTTTTTTAAAATGTATATTAACTTTTCTTAATAACATGTCCACAAGTTTTGAAGTTGTAGCATATGTAAGCTCACAAAAGGAAACATTTGCTTCCAGTTCAGTATCTGGAATTGTCATAAACAAAACACCTAATAATAAAACAGTAGATTTTACTTATCAATTATTTTCTGAATCAAGACAACCTGAATGTGAAGAGTTCAGTATGGGTGATATGGTATTTTTATCTGGTAAATTTTGTTATTATACTATTTTTGGAGATACTACTGGTATTGTGGTATGTAAAAAAATAATAACTTTTATATATTGAAACTTTCTATTATTGTAAATATATTTAATTAAATTAATAATTCATGCTATTATTAGTTAACGGTAAATAAAGCAATGAAATATCCAAATAGAAATTCAGGTTCTTGGACAATTATTAATTATCCTAAAACAAGACTATCAATTTCTTTTATGGCAGTCTGTGAAAGCACAATCATTAATAGAGTTCCACAAATTAAATCTTCTATTACTGATGTTTTTGAAGGAAATGAGATAAAATATATTAGCATGAAGACTTCTTTGTATGGTTGTTTATCTAGAACAGATAATGTTCTACATTTCTTCTTGATTGCATATGCTCATAAATTGTAAAGGTGAATCAATTTAAAATTTCATGTAAATCACCAATACATGATTTCTGGAATTTTGGATAGTTTTTTAGAAGAGGAAAATTCAATTACAAGATTAGTAATTTATGCAACTGAGATCGATTATGATTCACAATCTAATTTTGCATCTACAAATATCACTAATCAACAAATTTATCCAAATAAAGTAAATGAAATCAATGAAACTTTTAAAATCTCAGAAAAAACATGAAATTTTGTCTACAACACTTCAATCTTCTCATGTTGACAAAAATAAAAAGAATTCTGTAGATGAAAGTAAAAATGTGCAAACAAATTCTCAAGTGATTGCTCACACACTTTATCAAAAATTTCCTTCACAAAATAAATATTATGCATCATTTACACAACAAACTCCACAATTTTTTAACTCTCCTCCTCATGAAAGTATGTCCAATAATCAATTTACACCTTCTCTACCTGAAAATACATCTGATAGTCATTCTTTACTCCAACCTTCAGAACCAAAAGCAAAATCTGTAAGAAAAAGAAAAACACCTTTTGCAAATTCTAAAATAGAAAAAACAAGGCCAATAAGAAAATCACCCAGAAAGAAAACCATTGAAGATTTAGCAACTATGGAATTAGAAAGTAATGTTGATAACAATATTAATGATCATTTATTAGTAAGACAAATGAGTGGTATTGAAAAAATTAATAAAGAAAAATTAAGTGAAGAATGAAATAAAAAAAGGTACAATTAATGATAAGACAAAAATATTCAATAATATATTATACTATAAAAATTGTAACTAATTTATTAAAAATATAAATTAATAAAATGAAATCACAATTATAAAAATATTACAAAAAATGTGCTGAGATATTAAAAAAATTTAAATATTAATAAATTTTGCAAAAGATTTTATTTACTAAGTTATAAAATAAACTCAAAAAAAAAAATCTATTAATTATTCATTATTAACTGGATACAAAAATCAATAACCTGAATAAATAAAAACACCTTATATTTTAATAAATTTATGGACAAGAAATTATAAATAATTAAATATAAAGACTAATAATTAAATAAAAACACCCTTAACCCTGAACTCTTGTTTTATATGAAAATTTTTTTAAATAATTTGCATGATAATCACAATCATCGTGATCGAAAGAATTGAAAAAAATAAAAATGATTATAAGAAATTTCAATAAAAACTCCATACCCTCCTCAAATAAACCTATCAATAATTGTTAATTCTTAAAAGAAAAAAGAGATGGACAAGATTATAATTTGAAAAGTAATAGATAATTTGTGGACAAATTCATCATCAAACGAAGGAATGGCATACTTGATGTTAGCAAAAAATATCAATTCATTTTAATACATAACAGTGAATAATCCGAAATAAACAAAAAAAGGTGATATCTAAAATCATTCTAAACATTTTTATTAGCAAAACTTTATAAAAATTATTCTCTTTTAAATGGAAAAAATATTTGACATTTTTTTATTAAACTAGATAATATGAACAAAATTAAATACAGCAACAACAATAATAAGAGTGAGGCTTTTTTGAAAATTTATTAGCATTTTTCAAAAGTGACTATAATATTTAAGCATATAAAAAGTTTCAATATAAAATTATATAATAAAATAATAAAAGTAAAATAATAAAAATATCTTCTTTTAAGTCAGAGTTGGAAAATAGTCAATTCATGGACACGAAGCATTAAAATTTAGAAAGAGTATTTATGACTCGTTTTGAATAGCATTTTATTATGCGCCCAATAATATTAAATAAAAAAAACAAAAATTGAAGTCAAGAAGGATCACATTTTTATTTTTATTAATTTTGTTGAGAATCATAAAAAAAGTATTTTAATTAAATTTTCGTTATATTTGCTTAAATAAAACATTTAAAATTGATCTTTCGATGCATAAATAAAAAAAAATTTCTAACAATTTTCTTATGAAAATTTCTAATTCTTGATAAAATCAAAGATCGTGACACCTCTATTTTTAGATTTTGAAAAAATCACCTTTTTCTGTTAAGAAAAAAAATCATCCCATGTCTTGATAATTGAAAGTTCTATTTACCTTATAAAGATCAATGAAAAAATCCTTAACATTATAATTATCCTAAATTATTTATAAAATTAAAAAATTTTATTGGTTTTTTAAACGAACTTCGTTATAATCTTTCAAACATTACAGAAACATTGAATTAATATTTTAACAACACAAAGCTTCTTGCTTAGAAAGAATTTTCCTTATATTATATTATTTATTATTTCATTTATTAGCTCAATGGCTTCTTTATTACCATTTTCTTTTGCTTTCTTTAGCCAGTAAATAGAATTAATAATATCTTTTTTAGTTCCATATTCTTCATAAAAGTTTTTTCCGACTACGTATTGACCATAAATATCACCAGATTCTGCAGCTTTCTTATACCATTCAAATGCTTTCACCCGATCCATATTAACCCCATACCTATAGTCATAACATGTTCCTACATTATATTGAGATAAGGGATCACCTTTTTCAGCCGCCTTTAAAAACAATTTAAATGCTTTTTGATAATCTTTATCCACACCTATACCCTTGTTATAACAATACCCAATATAAAATATTGCATTAATATTTCCAGAAAGAGCTGATTTCATAAGCCATAGAAATCCTTTAGCTACATCTTTTATTGTTCCAAGTCCATTTATATAGCACCAACCAACATTATATTGTGCAGTAAGAACTCCTTTTTCTGCAGAATTTAAATACAATTCAAATGCTTTTTCTAGATTTTTTTTAACACCAAATCCATTTTCATAATAATGTGCTATTTCAGATAAAGCTAGAAGGCATCCTTTATTAGCAAGTTTAGAATAGATCCGATATGCCTTTTTCTCATCTTTTTCAACCCCTCTGCCATATAAATACATATCTGCAAGCAACATGATTCCATATTCTTTGTTGATATCGTAATATTTCATTAATGATGGAGAATTAGAGGGTGTGACATCAATTATTTCATTGGCAGCTATATTAAAGAATTTAACTGCCATTTGGTTATCAGTAACAGTTCCAATACCACTCATGTAAAAAAATCCTATCATGCTAGTGAACCAAAAATGTGATTTATGACTAATCATTTCATAAAGAACTTTAACTGGATTCTTTTTATGATCTTTCATATAATTTTTCACCATTATTGGTTGCGCACCCATAAATTGTTTTTTAATAATATCAATAAAAGCTTCAAATAAATCCTTAATAAAAACTTCAACTTCTGCTGACTTATTGGTAAAGGGAGAATCTGAATGAACTTTCAGTTCCTTATTTTGTCTTAATAAAGGGAATTTATAATTAATAAATATTTTCTAGAATTCACCAACATATAAAACAATGAGAAAAATGTGACTTACTTATTTAGATTTTCCAATTTAACGGAAATGATTTCACCCGCATCATTGTGAGGTTGTGATTGAGGAGTTTCATCTTTAAAACTTGTTTCGACAATATTGATTTCTGAAAGATTTTTAACTACTTGGGAAATGTCTGGTCGCAAATTTTCATTGTGTTTCCAACAATCTGGTAAATAGATTTGATTTATAAAATTTTATTATGTAATAAATATAAATAATTTTAATAAATTGTTATAAATTTTTTACCAGTATATATTTCTTTGTATTTAGGATGTATTCCAGGTATTACCAATTCTCTTTTTCCTTTTACAATATTATTTAACAGATCAACATTTGAAAAAGATTCCATTTCGAAAGGAGGATAACCGCTAGAAATTTCCCATAGAATAATTCCCAAACTGAAAATATCTGAACTCTTATTTTTACCAATTTCCAAATATTTAGGGTCAATATATTGAATTGGGCCGAGAGTACTTGTAAGAAAATTTAAAGATTCAGTCATAAACTTCGTTAATCCAAAAATATTAAATTTAATGATCCCATTATGAATAAGAATATTTTCAGAATTCTAATTAAATTATAAAATAAAAAAAAATTAAAAATGATTCATTTGTTTAATTCATTTTTATAACAGAAAAATATTTACTAATTTCCCATGAATAATGTCATTCGAATGTAGAAACATCAAAAGATTGGCAATTTGTTTTGCAAGACTTAGTTTTACGTTCCAATCCAGTTTTTGGAAATTGGTATTTAAATATTGGAGAAGAGAATAGTTATTAACATATTCAAGAATAATCATAAAATCATCGGTATTCTCTATATAAATCAATCCATAAATAAATGAATAATGATTGTTTATAAGTGTGGAAATTTAAATATCTTTATGTTACCTCGCTTAGTAATTCCATAGAATCTAAGAATACTATCATGAATTTCCAATTTTCGATGTCTTTTTATCTTTTTCAATTAATAATAATAATGATTAATAAAAATGTTCAACTAATAGAATAAAAAGAATCAAATTTGACCTACTTCATTTATTAAATTGTCAAGCATAAATTTATCATTTAAAGAAATGCGTTTAAGAGCGACAGTTTTTTTTCCCAAAGTTTTAAAAGTGGCTTTATAAACATCTCCACTAATTAATTTTACATTTTCAAATTCAGAAAATTGATAAAATGAGATATTTTCTTTTTGAAGAGTATCTTCAATAATCAAATTGTTCATCCAAGCTTCCCATTTTTTTTCGTTTGTCTTTTCTTGGGACATGATTAATGGAATGGTTATTGTTTAGTTGCACTAATTAATATGTGTATCGTAAGTCACACCGAAATTTCTAACCACATTCGCATGATTTTCTAGGATATATCCAGTTTACTTTTGTCCACGCAGATCGACGCCTATTTATTTAAGGTCCTATTCTGCATGCATAAATAGTAATAAGGATGTATCGTGATCAAAAAGCAAATAGGATATATCCTAAAAATTTTATGCGAATGTGCTGCAAACAACAGGTAAGCTTCCAAATAGGAATATAATTCGGATTATTCCGTGTCCCAATTAGCTCTAGCTCTTGAAGATAGGCATTTGTACAAATTTTTTATATACAATTAAATAAGAAATTCTGTTATATTTATCATTAAATGTTATCAGTAACAATTCCAACCCCATCTTGTTAAAAATATTCAATATCTAAGAGATAATATAATATGCTAATAACTCGATGTCATCAATATAATAATCGTAAAGATGTATTTAGATAAAATATTCTATCATATTTTTAATTTCGTTATTTATAATATTTATATTTAATGATTACAAACTAACTATTTTGAGTTGTCGTGTCCATAATTCGGTGGTTTCTTGCTATTAGAATCTTGAAAACGAACGCTGTAGGTACTTCTGAATTTGTCTGTAGATTCTACATTTTGGTTTAGGTATCTTGTGAAGTTAGGAGTTTCTTAAGTGTTATCACCACTATTTACCATATTTTGGAAATGACATATCCAAATTGTGTTGTCCACACCTTATTTTCTTTGTTCTCTCGTGAATATTATGTTGCTCTATTTAATAAGAATTATATTTATTTCAATATAAAATGAAAATTGAGCTCTTATTGATGAATTTGTAATTCTAGAATATTGGTTTTTTTTTTATTGTTCCTCAATTGCTTACAAACTCCCAATTTTAATTATAAGTTCAGCACAACATCCATAGTATGATTTTAAAATTTAGTTTATTTACTGATGTTGCAGATAATCTTACTAAGTCCCGAAACAACCTCTAGAGTGGCTTTCCTCAATAAATGATCTTTATTAATCATTCCCTATTGGGAGTTTGATAACTAGCTATTCTATCAACATTAAATAACTAATTAAATTTTAATATGAGTTATTCCTCCCATATTTATTGAATATAAAAAGAAATAAAGATCAGTACCTCTTCTCAGGTGAATAGCTTGATGATATCCTTGCCATTAATAATAGTTTTAATATTATGAGGAGTCATCATACTATCAGTCATGGTATAAGAAAAACATTTGGGTGATATTATCAATTATTCCATTTGATAACATAAAATTAGATACAATTAAAAATCAATTATGAATAATTAAAATGAATTATAAATTATAAAATAAATCATAAATATATGTTGATGATAATACAACAGAGATACTCTATCAGGTATGAAGATAAAATATTTAATATTACTTTATTAATTTTCTTTGAGATCTCCTAAGAATTAATTTTATATTAGAAAATTCCTTTATACAGTTAATATAATTCAAATAAATCTTGGAACACTTTTGGTGAGATGGATCCAGTTGTTACTTGTTTGCCAACTCAATAATTGTTTTTATTTTCATTTTTTAGGCATAAATTATTGTCCAAGTATTTTAATAAATTTACTTATTAGTAATGTTTATATAAAGATTGTATAAAAGAATAAAGAAAGGAGAATAAATGAAGGAAGAAGAGAGTAAGTAATGAAAAATAAATAAATGGAAATGTAAAAGTTAAAATCAATTATTTACATTTTATTTTTTCATCCTTCCATTTGTGCTCGGGAAAATAAATGATAAGTCTTTAGTGCTAGTTGGAAAATCAGAAATACATATTTTAGAGTAGATTAAATCGACTTTTTTTTAAAAAAATAATAATAGTTTAATTATATAATTATATCTTAATAGTTTTTTTATTTATTTCATAATTATTTTTAATCATTTCTTTTTTTTTTTTACAAATATTTATATCCAAGTCATATACTACGGTTCTGCAAAAAGGTTCGAATCTAATTGATCCGATCTGATCAACTACAAAAATAAATCTGTTCAGAATTGGGTGGTAAAATTCTAAATAAATAGATCCCACGGATTCTAGAGAGGGAACGGAAAAGGAAGGAGAGAGAGTGAGAGGGAGAGAGGAGTGAGGAAAAGTGTGACAAAAATTTTTTTTAATTCAAATTTCTAAAAATAATTAAAATAATCGAATATTTGATGAAGATTTATAAATATTTGAGTATTTTTTGAATGTTCTAGATTCATAAAAAAACATTCGGATGTCATTAAAATTATTAAATGAGGGAAGGGGGATAAAATCCGATATGATCTGACTTTGCGGAACCCTATAATATACTCAATTATGCCTCCTTATAAACAAAAAGAAGGTTGCCATTTCCCACCTTACATATTACAAGTGAGCAAGAAAAAGACATCAAAAGAAATATGGACAGAATGCCAACTAGAATATACTTACTCAAATGGAGCAAACCTTACAACTCAAAACGTTTCAGAAAAATGAATTTCTTAGATAGACAAGAGAAAATGAGAAAATAGATAAGATAATCAACTAACTGACGATAGTAATAGTATATTAGAGAGATATAAAAGGTATTTTTGCAACGATATATTTGGCTTTGTGAATTGATGGCCGAATTAAATAATGGAATCAATAATGAAAATTTTGGTCAACGCGATATTAATAAAATTGAAAAAAAGTTAGTATAATATGTAATATTTTTATAAATTATAATAAATATATAATTACAGATGAAAAATTTATTATTTAGATAGAAATTCACCTAATAGCAATGAAGAAATGAGAGAAAATTCAGTTTGTAGAACTACACAGGAATAAGAAACATACTAATATATATACAAATGACGAATAATTTAATAAATAATTTTTATATAGAGTAACTAAGATAATTTATTTTAAAATTGGCATACTTTTTACCAGTGAGTGAATATAATATCAACTGATTGCCATAGGACATAGCATGTCGTCTGGGCATTTATTTATTTTTAAAAATATCTTCATAAATAAATAAATGGAATATCACTTTGTTATAATGTCATTATATATTGAACATGTGCTATGTACTTTTTTAGTAATCAGAGATAAAAAGTATAATAACGGTTAAAAGATATTAACGCTGTATTTAAGTTATTTTCTTCTTCTGTTTAAACGATTTCTATTTGTAATTTTCGTATAAACTAAAATTGTTTCTATAAAAAAGTTATTTATCACCTAAAACTTCAATTTTTGACATTGATGATGATAAATAACACTTTATTCATTTACGTACACCTCTCATTCACTCACTTTAGTACAAATTTATTCTATTCAGATGAAATACAGATCAATATTATGAATATTTCACACGATGAATGTTGGAAAGTTATTTCAACATTTTTTGAAAAAAGGTAGTATCGTTCGTCGACAACGATGAATTTATACAGAATGGTTTTGCAAAAATATAATTGAATAAAGAAGAGATTCTAATGCAATGCATGCGGAAGGAATTGATAATAAAAGGAGAATAATTGCATCAGTACACATACATATTAACATGTATACTATAACTATATTTTATATATTATTTTAGAAATGTTTGAAAGTAAGATATGTTTAACTTTTTATAGACTAAATATTATAGAATTAGATAGATATGTATAATATTAAATTCCAAGAAGTCCGTTTAAGGAATCTCATTTTATACTATTTTTAATCCTTAAATTTTGATATGTACTGTACATAACAATAAAAATAAAAAGGAATTTTTTCTTTATTTTTTTCTTTATTCTTTTTTTATTTTTATTTTTTTATTTTTATTTTTGAAAAGCTTGCAAATACTATGTTTTATACAATGCTATAACAAATAGCAATTTTCACTTTGAATAATTCCAAAATAAGATCGTCATGTTAATAATACAATATAGAAAATTATAAATAAACAGTTGATTATTTAATTGTGACACAAGGAAATTTAGAACATAAAAATTTCGATTACTAATTGTGACACAAGGAAATTCAGCTCACCAATTTAATTTAATACAACAGTCTATTATTGACGATTTCCATTTATTCATGTTCCAAGAAAACACAAGCGAAAAAGTCTGGATGGACAACTTGATTATTGAAGATACTCTTCAAAAAGAAAATATCCTATTCTATCGATATTCTGAATTTAAAGATGTAAAATTAATCAGTGGAAATGTCTATAAAGCCACTTTTAAAACTTCTCAAAAAATTGTTGTTCTTAAATGTATTTCTTTAAATAATAAATATACGCTGAACAATTTATTAAATGAAGTAAGTTCAATTATTTATTTAAATATTTTTATTATTTTAATTGTTTTTAATTATTTTTAATTGAAAAAGATTAAAAGAAGTCAAAAATTGGAAATCCATGATAGCATTCTTAGATTCTATGGAATTACTAAACAAGGAAGTATAAAATTATTTAAATTTCTTTACTTACTGATTATAAACAATTATAATTCATTAATTTATTTGATTTTTATAGAGAATATCGATAATTATATGATTATTCTTGAATACGCTAATAATGGCTCTCTTCGTCAATATTTAAAAACATATTTCCAAAAACTGAATTGGAGTGCAAAATTAAATATTGCAAAACAAATTGCCAATCTTTTGATGTTCCTACATTCGAATGATAGTATTCTTGGAAGATTAGTAAATATTTTTCGGTTGTAAAAATGAATCACACAAATGAATTATTTTTTAATTTCTTTTATTTTATAATTTAATTAGAATTCTGAAAATATTCTTATTCATGATGAAATCATTAAATTTAATATTTTTGGATTGACGAAAATTTTGCCTGAATCTTTAAGACTCCTTACAAATACTCTTGGCCCAATTCAAAATATTGACCCTCAATATTTAGGAATTAACACAATTGGTAAAAATAAGAGTTCAGATATTTTCAATTTGGGAATTATTCTATGGGAAATTTCCAGTGGCAATCCTCCTTTCGAAATGGAACTTTTGTCAAATGTTGATTTAAATAAAATTTTAAAAAGAAAAAGAGAAATGGTTATACCTGGAACACCTCCTAAATACAAAGAAATATATACTGGTATAAATTTATAATAATTTTTTACATTATGAAATTATATAAATTAAATCTATTCTGTTTACAGATTGCTGGAAACACGATGTAAATTCACGACCTGACATTTTTCAAGTGATTAAAAATCTTTCCAAAATCATCATTGACGATTCAAGTTTTGGAAATAAAACTTCCATCAGATTGGAAAAGCTAAATATGTAAATGTCATTTTTTTTACATTTACATTGTATGTACATGCTTTTGATCCAATAAAATATTGATTAAATATAAAATTCTCTTTATTAGACAAAATGACGAACTAAAAGTTCCCCCCTTTGTTGGCAAGTCAGCTGAAGTTGAAGTTTTTATTAAGCATTTATTTGAATTTTTTTCTGATGTCATTAAAAACCAGTTTGCTGATGTGCAACCAATTATGATGAAAAATTATATCAAAAAGCATAAAAAGAATTAAGCTAAAGTTCTATATGAAATGATTAGAATGATTAGCCATCCTTCGAACTTTTGGTTCACTAGTATGACAGGATTTTTTTACATGAATGGTATTGGGACTGTTACTGATTACCAAATGGCATTTAAATTCTTTAGTATAGCTGCTAATGAAATAATTGATACCTCATTTTCTAATCCCTCATTTTTAAGGAAACTAAGCAATATCAACAAAGAAATTGGAACCATGATTCTTGCAGATATGTTTTATAATGGCACAGGCATTGAAAAGGATGTAAATAATGCATATCAGATTTATTCTAAACTTGCTAATGAAGGGTCCTTTATTGTAACATCAACTGAAGTAGCAGATTGTTATAGGTATGGATTTGGAATTGAGAAAAATGAAGAAAAAGTATTTGAATTATACTTAAAATCTGCAGAGAAAGGAATTCTTGTAGCACAAAATAGAGTTGGTGAGTGTTATATAGATAGAATTGGATCACCAAATGTTGACTCTTTCTCTTGCTCTCGCTTTGAACAAGAGAGAGAGAGAGTTAAAGGATTTCAGTGGTATATGAAATCTGCTCTTGCTGGAAATGTTGGTTCAATATGGACTGTTGGATATTGTTATGACCATGGTGTAGGTGTTGACGGTGATTGTCAAAAAGCATTTAAATTGTTTTTAAAGGCAGCTGAAAAAGGAGATACTAAAGCTCAATATTATTTAGGATATTTTTATCAAAATGGTTATGGGGTTAATGAGAATCAAGTGAAAGCATTTGAATGGTATAAGAAAGCTGCCGAATCTAACTTTAGTCATGGTCAAAACGAGGTTGCAAGATGTTTTTATGAAGGTCTCAGAACAAAAATAGATATTGTAAATGCTATCTACTGGCTAGATAAAGCAAAAGAAAATGGGAATAGTTATGTCAACGCGAGATTAAATGAAATAATAAATAATATATGATAAAGTAGTTGTTAAAAATATTGGTTAAATATTCTGTAAATTTAAAAGATTATGGCATTATAAAACTTATTTTTTGGTAAATAGATTTCTTGAATGTTAAAATTTTATACTTGTCTAAATTGTTGACATTGCAGAATTTACTAGTGATCCAATAACAAACAATATAATTAATTTGAAATGAATTAATAAAATGTTAAGAATAATAATAAAATTATGTTTTTTTTTTGAGAAAGAAAATGTTTATGTATTTGATTTATAGCAAAATAATTCTGTTTAGCAAGAAGAACCCGAAATTGCCATTTTGATTTCTTTGTGTGTAATAATGTTCGTTCAAACCAGCAAATCAGAAATTAACAAATTTTAAATGAAATTAGATCTTGAAAAAAGATAGTTTGATTAAAATAATCCCATAGGTGATGACCATAAAAATGGCAAATATATTATAATGATGACAAAAATGGAAACAATGAAGATATTGGTAGCATTGATGGAAATGATAAAGATATTGATGATAATGATGGAATGATAAAAATAATAATAGGTTCAATAAATGTTTTTTATTTTTTTTTTTATTTTAAAATAAATAAATAAAGTTATAACCTATCTCTACTTCCCTTGGAATCATGGAAGGTTTGGGATTCGAAATAGAATACAGTATATTCAGGTTTGTAGATTCTGGTAAATATTTTTTATTTTAATTTCTTTTTTTTAAAAGATACAATAATAACGAAAGATATACTTACTTTATTCTCCTCTAAAATCGTGTTTATGAGCTCACAATGATGACAGAAAAACTGCAATGATAATGGTGGCGGATTTGATGAAATTTACGATAATAATGGCTGTTGATATAAAAAACTAATAACAATAATGGTAGAATGAATTGATTCATCAATAAAATCTTTTTATTAAATTAAGTGTATAACGAGTTTCATTTGTGATATTACAATCATTGAAACAAATAACAAAGATATTCTGCGTGGCATACAGTGTGAAACCTCACACAATAGAAAAAAAATGGATTTTTTTTAAACCATTATGTCATGTGATAAACCATATAAATTTAAAATTCTAATCAATAAATTTGATAGATCATTATATGGCATTCAAAACTATCAGTTATAATTCCTTTAATTTTATGTTGCCCATGTTATTAACTTTCCATTTTACTATTCTATTACTAAATCAAGACACTATACATGTGAAATAAAAAATTTAATTGATTAAGTAATTCCAGATTACTAAAAACAGTTTCTGAAGCACTTGAATCTGTTTCTTCAATTACTGTTATAAAATATATATAGAGTATATAGAAAAGGAGTTACAAGCTATTTAGTCAAATTTGCAATCAAAATCATAAATCTCATTGTCATGTACTTGATACAATGTAAGAATCCTCTTACTTCAGATTAATTAAATGCTTAATCCAAAGTGATAATTAATAGATACTTTATTCAGAATATAATAAAAATACAGACACTATCCAGAACAAGACAAAAGTTTATAATTAAATAAAAATAAAGGAGCAAGACTACTTTTTATTAAATAAAAATACATATGCTTATATACTTGTTTCTATAAATACTATTATATCATAATAAATATAAATAATATATATATTTTAGGTCATAGACCTATTCTGAAATAAAATAAATGTTAAAAAAACAAAACAAAAATAAGAAAATATGTAGTTCTTTCTAGAACTTAGTAAAAATAAATCACTATATTCTTCCCAACTACAAAAGAATCGATGTCCTTGTTGATTCACAGAATCAAAAATTATTAACCAAATCCATGGCATTTGATAAATTAGTTAAAGGTTTCCAAGTTGTATCATGTAATGGATATCATTTTTATTTAATGAGATAATATGGTTTTTTGCATAGTTTCTTGTCAAGAATAGTTTCAACATAAGAAATTAAGTAAAAACATTCTACATCACTATACAAATGCCATTCTATAGCATTTTATGAATAGTACTAACATTCATATAGCACACTAAATACAACATTTTAGAGTGCTCTACAAATGTTTTATTTATATCCCTTAAACAGTCCAGCAGGTAAATTTGCCTGTTAAAATTTTTTTAATTTGTAATTGTGTAACTGCTCAAAATTTTCTTAACTAATTTCCCCACTGTCTAAACTATTATGAAAGTGTACTACCTTTCTGATCACCCCATAATTCCTCCTCTTTATTCTTTTAAATAATAATCCAAAAGTTCTGCCCTATAAAAGTACCATCAAAAATTATGTTCTTTACAGCTAGAATGGTTTTTTGTCTTTGAGTTCAACTCCTCATGAAACTACAGAAGAATATATCAATAAAGAAAAAGAGTACATATCTCTTTTGACAACTTGCCAATGTTTTTGTAGACAATCTGAAATCAGATGTTGAGGAGAATGAAGAAGAAGACACCAGGAACATTTATAGGGGTAGATGCAAAATTGCAGGAACTGTACAACTCCCACCACCTTCAAATTTTGAACATTTTGTTCATTTAAGGCCATTTTACCATGCTTTTATTAATTTCCCATCAAATTATGAAGCCAATTTTTTCAAACTGGCCAATCTTTTTCTACTTTTTTTCACAACTCTACATTAGACACTATACATGTTCCCTAAAATTAAAAATTCAAAACCTGACCCTGTTAATTTAAAATGATCCTGAAATTGAATTCCGAAATTCAAATTAACCTCAAAATTATTATAAAAAATGAAAATATTTACAGGGGTCAAAATTATTATGGGAAACAAAATTTAATGTAACCTTAGTTGAAATTAATATTTCAACGGGAACAAAATAGTTGTGAAATCCCAAAGTTATAGGTCTATAGATTTTTTTTTTAAAAATTTTTTTTTTTTAAAAAAATAAAGCTTAGGAATTGTACAGGCGATCGCAAAATGATGTAGACTTTTTCTTTCTTTATTATTATTTTTTAATAAAATAATTCACTTACCTTTCTACCTCTTAACTTATCTTTCTATTTCTTCTTAACTTACTTTTCTACCTCTTCTTAACTTACCTTTCCTCTGAATTGTGTTCTTGAGCTCACAAAATGGCACAGGTAATCACAAAAAGACATGGGTAAACTTTTTCTTTCTTTATTATTATTATTTTTTTTAATAAATAAATTCACTTATTTTTTTACCTCTTAACTTACCTTTCTATCTCTTCTTAACTTACCTTTCTGCCTCTTCTTAACTTACTTTTCCTCTGAATTGTGCTCTTGAGTTCGCGAAATAACACAGGTGATCGTGAAATGGTATAAATAAACTTTTTCTTTCTTTATTATTATTATTTTTTTAATAAAATAAATTCCCTTACTTTTTTACCTCTTAACTTACCTTTCTATCTTTTCTTAACTTATCTTTTACATCTTTTTAACTTACCTTTCCTCAAAATTGTGCTCTTGGGCTCGCGAAATGATACAGACGATCATGAAATGGTGTAAATAGGTTTTTTCTTTCTTTTAATTATTATTATTTTTTTAGTAAATATATTTACTTACCTTTCTACATTTTCTTAACTTACCTTTCCTCAGAATTATGCTATTAGGCTCACAAAATAGTATAGGTACTTACCCTTGCTTTAGAATTGTAATTGTAAACTTGTAGTATTGTGGTGATCCAAATTGGTAATCAGATGAAATGTCACAGAAGATGATAATTTGTGTCACTAGATGAACATTCAGGTAATTGTTATTCTATGTGAAATAACTATACAAGGATGAAGGATGAAGTACAAAGATAAGAAAAATAAAGTGTAAACAAAAGAGAAAGTATAAATACGACCATTGTCGGTGTAAGTTTTAGTAGTGATCAGAATTCATTAATAGTTATTAGTTAATTAATTATTACTTAATGTTATGGAATATATCAAAATATTTTAATTATTATTAGATAGAAAAGTAAACTTACTTCAAGAATGAAAAATAAACATCCTAATACATGATAATATTTCTGTTGCTGAATTATACTTTACTTTTAAAAACTTTATATTTTATATTTTAATAAACTTATATCTTGTGTCATAATAATATAGAATATTATTAAATATTGTTTGATACTGTGTTAACTTCTTTTACTTTATCTTACTTATTATTATTTAATTATTATTATTATTTATTATATATTTATTATCTGTTTTGAAATAGGCCAGTTAAATCAATTGTATTAGTTATAACCTACTGGCAGATAGAGCGTATTATTATGTTTGATTAATGCAAACTTTGAGACTGATTTGAGAAATTGTTTGAAATACTCTGTACAGTGGTGACAATATGCAGGCAAATTATTATAGAAAAGTATAAATACAACTGGTATTGGAAGTAAATAAGTTAGGAAGAGTCAGTTAATAACAGTTACAAGTCAATCAGAAATTAATTAATAATTAGAAATAATTCAGAGTAATTCAAAATACTTTAATAAATATTGAATAGAAAAATAAACTTTCTTTGATATTTCACTTTTGAAAATTTTATATTATATTTTAATAAACTTATATTTTGTGTTGTAATATTGCAAAATAATGAGGGTGCACAAATTTCACATGAGATGTGTATGGGATTTTGAAATGTTGTAGATGTCATGAGAGATGATAGTAAAATGACAGTATTACCAGAATAAGTGTGTTACTATCTAGATAACAGATTATTCATCTTTGTGTAAAGTATTCCATCCTAGTATATTATTCTTTATCCTTATGTGTTATATTTAAAAATAGAAAAGGCGTGTTTAGACATGACAACAAAGGGATAAAAGGAAACAAGTTCAAAATGTATAAAATAACTGGTAATTTAAAATGTGAAAAAAGATTGATTTATTTTTGCGATTTTTATAAATTTTGATTTCTTTTGACACATTTCAAATAATTACAAAAATATTTCACCTGATTTGTAATAATATAATAATAATATTTTGGTATATATTTTCATAATAAAATTTAATAATAAAGATAAAAATGTATCGCAACAATTTAGCAGCAAAGATAAGACACA